CATATGACTCATATATTTATATTAGACAGCACTGGTTTAAATTTATCTTCGCTTTCATAGAAATGGCCCCAGCACTAGCATGTCTAAGTGGTGGAGTGACTGGATATAAGCTACACAATGTCAACACCTGGAACTAGTCGCCATGTGTCAGACATAAGATCTAAACATCAGTAAAAGGACAATTTCTAATGAAGAAAACTAGGCATCAAATGTCTACATGAAATAAAAACTAAGAAGCCACAGAAAGACTGAGGAAAGCCACTAAGTGTAATTGAAATGTGTATACACAAATGAGTTTATAATCTCAAAACATACAGCGAAAACCCATCACCTTGAGAGACAGGTCATGATAGAATCATTTGAATCAAAAGAATGCAGACATTAGTAAAGCAATCACCAAGGGAGAATGAAAATGGAGGGAAGGACTGTCCCGCTCTCCCTCCCTGTGAACTCCAGCAGTGGTAACTTTGTTCACGGAACAGATTTGTCCTGACTCGAATATTATGACCACAAAACGAAGGAGGACTTGGAATACTGACTTTGTGCAACCTTGCTGGTTAGGCTCGGCACACCTATCAGTGTGCTAAGATGAGAGCGGCACAGCTGTGCGTGCTGTGCACACTCCAGATGAAGGTGCACCTGAAAGGGCTCTCTCCACGCGATCTGAACCTGAGGAGGCTTCTTGCCCAGGATGCCTCAACCTCAGGCTGCTCTTTTGCACCTGGTCTTGTCCTGCCCTACATCCAGCCCTACAGACACCCCAGCCAGCTTCTCATCACGGAGTTCCTTTGGTACCTTGCCCTCCTCGAGCTGGGAAAAGACATCATTCCCACACCCTGTCGGCTGTCTCATGGTGACTACCACATAGTAATAAGACATGGAATGTTTGCTACACTACCAATAAATTAGAAAATACAAAAATGTACTTGTTTAGAAGATTAGAAAATCATATGAAGATAAAAAATTGAAATCATAAATTCTGGAGGTAATAATGCTAGTAAGAAAACTTTATACCAAATGTAGGCAAATCAGCAACAAAATATTGGGGTAGAGTAGAAGGTTGATGGGAGGGAGGGACCAGATGGGAGGAGGGAGGGGGCTGCAATGGGGATGTAAAGTGAATATATGAATTAAAAATTCTTTAAAAAAAAAGAGTAAAACACACACATACTCATACACACACACATACAATACTGGGGTGAAGATCAGCTGCAGAACACAAGGCTCTCCAGTTTGAGAAGTAAGAAAAAAGATATTTGAAAATTAAATAAATAAATAAATAAACAAGCAAATAATTGTAGCCACACTCAAAAGGAAGAACTCCAACTGTTATTATTTGTAGAACACAGAACAATTTAAAGAGATTCTGACAGAATATGCTAGAGGGTACTAGAACTAAAGACTAAAAACAGATATAAAAATCAATTATATTTATGAACAAAGGCAGAAGAAAGAAAATATTCACAATAGTTTCAAAACATAAAATGTATAGGGATTGTCTCAGTCAGGGCTTACACCGCTGTCATAAGCACCACGACGAAAGCAGCTTGAGAGGAAAGGGTTGATTTTGTTTGCACTCCCACATTTTATTCCACCATGGAAGAAGTCAGGCAGGAACTCCAGCAGGACAGGACCCTGGAGGCCGGGGCTGAGGCAGAGGCCATGAAGGGTGCTGCTTACTGGCTTGCTCCCCAAGGCTTGCTCACCTGCTTTCTTACAGGCCACAGCCCAGGGATGGCCACTCCCACGATGGGCTGGGTCCCCCTCCTTAAAGCACTAATTAAGGAAATGACCTCCAGGCTTGCCTACAGCATGGTCTAAGCGAGGCATTTTTCGAGGTTGAGGCTTTCTCCTATCAAATGGCTCTAGCTTGTGTCAAGCAGGCATAAAACTAGCCAGCATAGAGATAAATCTGACCTCTGACCAAAAATAAAAATAAAATAAAAATAAAGAATGGAAGACATACACAATTAAAACCATAAAATATTGCTAAGATAAGTGAAAGAAAAATTAAAAAGAAAAATGCCATTTCTATAGATAAAAAAACACATACTATATACATAAAATTTTTATCTAAAAATTCTGCAAAATCCCAATATAAATCCCAAAAGTGTTTTTACAGACATTTCTCAGAATGCCAAATTTGTAAATTGAAGTTCATTTAAATTAAATTAAATTGTTCACAGGCAGTTCTTTGGAGTCAGAGGCAAGTGGATCTCTATGAGTTCAAGGCCAGCCTGTTTAACACAGCTAGCTCCTGGACAGCCAAGCCTACACAAAGAAACCCTGCTTAGGAAAGCAAACAAACAAACAAAACTCTCTTTTATTTGACTTGAATATGGTAATTTTTTTCTCCTCTGGATTACTTCACTTTGGATGACTGTTTTAAGCTCTGTTTACCAAAAACTTTAATTATTCTTTTTTAATTAATTAATTTTTTAAACAAATTTCAGTTTATTAACTTTGTATCCCTGCTGTAGCCCCTCCCTCATCCCCTGCCAATCCTACCCTCCCTCATCTCCTCCAATGCCCCTCCCCAAGTCCACTGATAGGGGAGGTCCTCCTCCCCTTCCATCTGACCCTAGCCTATCAGGTCTCATCAGGACTGGCTGCATTGTCTTCCTCTGTGGCCTGGTAAGGCTGCTCCCCACTCAGGGGGAGGTGATCAAAGAGCCAGCTGCTGAGTTCATGTCAGAGACAGTCCCTGTTCCCCTTACTAGGGAACCCACTTGGAGACTGAGCTGCCATGGACTACATCTGTGCAGGGGTTCTAGGTTATCTCTATGAATGGTCTTTGCTTGGAGTATCAGTCTCAGAAAAGACCCCTGTGCCCAGATTTTTTGGTTCTGTTGCTCTTCTTGTGTAGCTCCTGTCCCCTCCAGGTCTTTCTATCTCCCCCTTCTTTCATAAGATTCCCTGTGCTCTGCCCAAAGTTTAGCTATGAGTCTCAGCATCTGCTTTGATACCCTGCTGAGTAGACTCTTTCAGAGGCCCTCTGTGGTAGGCTCCTATCCTGTTCCCTGTTTTCTCCCTCTTCAGGTATATATCCTGTTTGCCTTTCTGAGTGAGGATTGAGTATCTTTAATTATTCTTAACAACTGAATAACACCCACTGGGTAAATGTGCCATATTTTCACTATTCATGCCCAAAAGTGGGACAGCTGAATCTTGAGGTAGAGGGCCCTCAGCTTCCTGAGGAACTGGCCCCCCACTTCCGTAGCAGGCTGAAGCAGTCTGCAAACTCCTGCCAGTGGTAAGTGCCCGACCACCATCAAGAGCAGGTGCGATTTGTTTATTAATCTTGGCCATTCTGACTGGTGTTGAGATGAAACCTCAAGGTAGTTTTAAAATCCCAGCACTGGAAAGAAGTGGGCACAAAGTCCCACCCCTAATGATGAGGCTGTTTGTGACTGATGCCTGCTGGGAAAGAAAACATCAGTTTTCTCCAATGGTGTGACCTAGGTACGTCAACCATACTTCTGGGGCCTGCCCTGAAGTGGTCAGAGACACAAAACAAATGCCACAGTTTGCTTTTTGAGGCTTTTTGTTTCGATTCGGATTTTTCTTTGTTGTCTTGGTTTTGTTGTTTTGTTTGATTATGGGAGGGGACACATTTTGGTATTATTTTTGAGAGAGAGGGAGAGAGAGGGAACTAACACAAAGTTGCCTAAGGAAGGACATGGGCAGGATACAGGGGGATCAAAACTGTATGAAAAGAATTCACTTTACAGAAAAGCTGCTTTCGAGGAAGCTACTTTTTAGATGATTGAGACATATCCAGACATAGTAGCACATGCTTTAAGGATTTAGACAAACAAACTAAGAAAGAATGTCTGCGAACGATACCTGTGCTACAGGACTTCCAAAGAAAATAAAGAATCTTTAGAGGATAATACCCCTTGATTGGTGTGCTTGCTTGTTTTGTGGGTTTTGTAAACTTAACACAAGCTAAAGTCACCTGGGAAGTGGAAACTGCAACTGGGAAAATGCCTCCATTAGATCAGCTCTTGGCAAGTCTTGGTTTGGGAGGGTCTTGTGACAGATTTGAAAGGGCCCAGCCCACTTGGATGGTTCCACTCCTCCTCAGATGATCCTGAGTTATATAAGGAAGGCTAACGAGCCCTGGAGCTGAACAAGCCATGTGAGAAGATCCTCTGGGGCTCACTGGAGCTCCTGCCTGCAGGTTCCTACCTGAGGTGAGCTGCTGCCTGCAGGCTCCTGCCCTAACTGCACTCAGGAGTGGAGTTATAAGGGGGGATGAAGCCTTTCCCACAAGGCGCTCTTCTTGTCACAGTTTTTAACACACCAATGGAAAGCAGAGTAACATGACCATGAAAATAAATTATTCAGGAAGAGTGATGAACACTTCAAGTAACATCTGAATGGCACTGACACGTTAAAAGATTGTCAACATTGTTGGCAGTGAATGAAATGCGAAGTAAAATAATACTTAGATCTCATCGAATAGCTACTAGAATAGCTAGAATTAAAGAGGCTAACTGTAAAGGCACGCTGAGAGGCAGAGAAGAATGAGACCACTAATGCGCAACCCTTTCAGAGATGACGCTAATCACATGGAGGTATCTGCATAGGCCTGGGGAAAGATCAAAACTGTTCCTTATAAATAATCTACCCTAAAATTTTATTTCTTCAAAAATTTTAAAATACTACATTAAAATTATGGAAGATTATTTGAACCCTACATTTTGTTCCTGTTCAGGATATATAATTATTTTACTATTTAGAATAGAAAAAATACGGCAAGTACAGTTAAGAGAATAAAAAAACAGACATTACCTTCCTAAGCAACATATATGGAAGTATAAAGAAACACAAATTATAAGAATGTTATAAATATAATCTCAAAAAATTTTTTAAATAAAATAATAAAATAAAATATGTAAATATGTACTTATAAAATATATGATGAAACCACGAGTATTAATATGAAGCTAACAATATAAATCAATTACTGGTCATGAAAACATAAGGATACTTACAATAGCATGTCCCTCTAAGTGGATTACCAACATAGCGATTTTCAGAGTCACATCTGTAAAAACATAAAAACCTTACTCATTACTAAATAATGTATGTTAAAACTGTATCATAAAATAAATTTTTAAAAATAAACTTCTAAAATAGTTGACTGCAAAACACATAAAAATAAAACGGCATCAGTGAATAGAAAATGTTTGTGAAAAGTGAGAAAATCCGCTTACAGGGCAGAGCCTAACCTTGGTCAGAGACAGAGCACAACCAGGAGCTTTGGGACAGTTAGTACTCTTCACTAACATAACAAGTTCTCAAAAGTTGGAACAAAAACACACACATTTGTAAGTAGAACAAAAACCGGAATAACCACAAAGCCCTACTTTCTTCTTTGTAGTATTATTTGAAATTTAAATATTCTTCCTATTTTATACAACAACGAACGTTTATTTTTAAAAAGTAATTCTCCCCTGCCAGGGCTGCCCCAGCCTCAGGGGATGAGGAAGTGCTCAGTCCTGGTATGACTTGATGAGCTGAGGAGGGTTGACGCAGGGGGAGGGGCTCCCCTTTTCTGGGGGAAAGGGAGAGCAGGAGAGAAGGGGGGACTGGGAAGAGGGAAGGGAGGGGCACCCTCGGGAAGTAAAGTAAATAAACTTACATTTAAAAATTCTGAAAAGAAAAGAAATTTTCAGAACACATCTGTTATCAGCCCCTGACCTCCACATGCACGTACGTGTACACACACACCCACAACACTTGAGCACACATATAAACACACACACGCTATGTCACATGTTTATACTCTCTCTCTCTCTTCCATGTACACACATAGCCTCCCTCAGTCATGTTGAGAAAAGTTTTTCTCTAAACCAATAGACTCAGAATTCACAACAGACTAATATGATCCAAGATCAATAGCTCAGACGCTGAGCTTTTGTTAGGTTAAAAACAAATGAACACATGGAGACTCAATCACATGAACTCTAAGTTAAATACATAAAAAATATAAATATCCATAACAGAGAAACTTATGAATTTTGATTTTTGGTTTCATGTCTAGAATAAAACTACCAAGTGAGATAGACATACAGTGCTGATTTACATAATTATAGTTCTTGAAATGTATCTCCAAAATAAATCTTCTAGGATACATGTATCAGAGCATATCCGGGACATTGTGAAAGGGAATTGTAAAGTTTGTAGGAGCCAGAGGACCCGGGAGTTTGCTCTGGACTGAGCCTTCTACTAATGCCGGACACTTCACACATGAAGTCTCACCAAAACAACGTCCAAACATGACCTGAACAAGGATGTCAGTGGGCCTGTGGTGGGTGAGGGCCTCGGGGTACAGGGTGCACTGTATATGCCAGGACCAAAGTGGCTCTTGGAGGAAAGGGTTTACTTGGCTTATGCTCCCAAATCCCTGTTCATCATGGAAGGAAGTCAGGACAGGAACTCAAACAGAGCCTGAGCCTGAAGGCAGGAGCTGACACAGAGGCCATGGAAGTTGCTGCTTGCTGGCTTGCTCAGCCTGCTTTCCTATAGAACTTAGGGCCACCAGCCTTGGTGACCACACCCGTAAGAGGTGGGGCCATCTCCATCGATTACTGATGTTCACAACATGTTGTGAGTTCATGAAAGAAACTTTTCGTTTAAGCACTACTGCATTTAACAAAAGCCGGCCAGGTTTTCAAGTTTTAAAACGCCCTACTCATGGAGTCACTTTCTCAGTTGGTCTCCGTTCTCTCAGATGACTCCAGCTAATGTCAAAGGGACATAAAACTAGGAAGCAAAGCAGAGAAAAGTCCACAAAGCCTCAAGCCTACAGGAAAAACCACGGATGAGCAATGCTGACAGCACACAAAACAGTCTCCCAGGAAGAGCCCAGAAATGGGTCATCCAACACTCAAGAGGTCAGCCCTGAAGTGTATCACAAGTGACATCATATAGGCTGAGGAGGTTGCATTTATGAACATATATGTATGTACGTATGTAATAACAGTTAATGAAAAAGAGGACAAGAGTTTGAAAGAGAACAAGGAGGGGCCTGTGGAAGGGGGTCTGGAGGGAGAAAAGGGAAAGAGGAGCTATTAAAAATATATTAATCTCAAAAATTTTAAAGTTAGAATAAAATATATATACCAAAGTACCTAAATATAGTAGCTTAATATTTAAATTAAATTAAGTTTAAAAAGGTTAGAGAAACCTATGAAATGTCTTTCTTATAGTAGAGTTCATTAGAACAAAAATATTATAATGCAAATATATTTTAATAATAAAAATCAAACAGTGAAAAGTAGGCTAATATTATATTTCAGATACACTTTAGCCATATGGCTGCTATTTTTATATTTGAGATAGACCTTAAAGATATTCAAATACACTTCCAATCTCTCTAAAGAAATGTCCTCTTATTAGAAAAATCAAGAAAGAGCAGAAATGCAATCGATACTTCACAAACAGGGCCATCTGGCAGAGATGGAGCATTCCTGCAAACAGGGCTGTGCAGGGTATTTGAGCCTCCAAGCTCTGAAGTCACATTCAGAAGCACTACCGTTAAAAACTTCAGTGTCTTCCTCCTTTTGATCAGGAGTGACTGACACCAAAAACTGTCATGGCTGAAGCTCCAGTTTAAGCTGCCATCCATCAAGCTTATGACTGAATTCTAGAGCGGTTTTCAGCACACTCTGCCCTCTGGCTGTGGAGGATAGTGGCCTTTAAACACTATGTTGAAAGCTTGCTCATGTTCACAGCATGTCACGAGGACACACCACGGCATTTAGCCAAAGCCAGGCAAGTTTACAGCTGCTGGGCTTCACACGTCCAACCGTTAACACTACTGCCAAACACTGGTGCGTCTCCCCCAAACTCCACATTATCCCGACCAGCCACGGTCGATTCTCAGTGATTACTCTAGCACATCAGGACAATCACAGCCCCATTTACCATCAGAATCTTGGCATTTAGAGCCTTCTGACAGTCATCCAATTGGAAATCTCATCATGAAGTTCTGATACCCAGAGCCAGTGTGGATACCAAGTAACCCGGTGTCACTTCAACAGAAGCCTGAGAGGGGCCTGCTGTGCACACTGTCCTCATGAGTGACAGCAGGTAGCCTCAGTGACAAAGCAGAGCAATGAAGGGCAAAACCCCTACCTCAGGACTGCAACACGGCACTGCGGGTAAAAACACATGCTTGGCAAGCCTGATGGCCTCCGGTCAAGCCTGATGGCCTCCGGTCAACCCTGAAAGCCCATTCATCTGAACTAAGAAATATGCCTGTGCACGGACATGCTGTGCATCCACGTGGCAGTTAAGCAACATGATCCTTCGGGTACAAGCCCAAGAACAGGCAGCTGCTTCACCTGAGAGATCGAGGGTAACTTCTTACCAATTTCCTCCATGGCTAACCAACCCTACGCTCCCATCAGCAGCAAATGAGGGTTCCTTTTTCTCCATACTCTCCCCAGTGTTTGTCAACGAGTTTCTTGACCACAGTTGCCTTGGCTGGAGTGAGCTGGACTCTTACATTTCTGGGACAGCTAAGGGTGCTTAATGCTTTGTGAAGTGTTTATTGGCCATCTGTATTTCTTCTATGGAGAACTGTATGTTGAGTTCAGTAGTTGCTTTTGTCTAATTCAAGATACCATTTTTTAATACCAATTATCTTGGAATGTTAGGTTGAGAACTGTCATTGTGACAATATGGCTAAATGTATGCTTTTTTTGGTTTTTTTTTTTCAATTTTTTTAAATTACAGTTTATTCACTTTGTATCCCCCGTGAATACCTCCCTCTTCCCCTCCCAGGCTCACCCACCCTCCCCCCTCTCTACGCATGCCCTTCCCCAAGTCCACTGATAGGGGAGGTCTTCCTTTGCTTCCCTCTGATCCTAGTCTATCAGTCTCATCAGGACTGGCTGCATTGTCTTCTTCTGTGGCCTGGTAAGGCTGCTACCCCCTCAGGGAGGTGATCAAAGAGCAGGCCAATCAGTTCATGTCAGAGGCAGTCCCTGTTCCCATTACTATGGAACCCACTTGGACACTGAACTGCCATGGGCTGTATCTGTGCAGGGGTTCTAGGTAATCTCCATGAATGGTCCTTGGCTGGAGTATCAGTCTCAGAAAATACCCCTATGCCCAGATTTTTTGGTTCTGTTGTTCTCCTTGTGGAGCTCCTGTCCTATCCAGGTCTTACTATTTTCCACTTCTTTCATAAGATTCCCTGCACTCTGCCCAAAGGTTGGCGATAAGTCTCAGCATATACTTTGATACCCTGCAGGGTAGAGCCTTTCAGAGGCCTTCTGTGGCAGGCTCCTGTCCTGTTCCCCATTTTCCCATTCTTCTGATGTCCATCCTCTTAACCTTTCTTAATGGGGATTAGGCCTTCTAGCCAGAGTCCTCCTTCTAGATTAGTTTCTTTAGGTGTACAGATTTTAGTAGGTTTATCCTATATTATACGTCTAGTGTCCACTTATGAGTGAGTTTATACCCTGTGTGTCTTTCTGCTTCTGGGATACCTCACTCAGGAAGATCTTTTCCAGTACCCACCATTTACCCGAAAATTTCATGGTTTCCTTGTTTTTTATCTCTGAGTAATATTCCATTGTGTAGACATACCATCATTTCTGTATCCATTCCTCAGTTGAGGGGCATCTGGGTTGTTTCCAGGTTCTGGCTATTACAAATAAAGCTGCTACAAACATGGTTGAGCAAACGTCCTTGTTGTGTACTTGAGCCTCTTTTGGATATATGCCTAGGAGTGGTATTGCTGGATCTTGAGGAACTGCTATTCCAAATTGTCTGAGAAAGCACCAGATTGATTTCCAGAGTGGTTGTACAAGCTTACATTCCCACCAGCAGTGGAGGAGGGTTCCCTTTTCTCCACAACCTCTCCAGCATGTATTGGCACTTGAGCTTTTGATCTTAGCCATTCTGAAATCTCAGGGTCCTTTTGATTTGGATTTCCCTGATGACTAGGGATATTGAGCATTTCTTTAAGTGTATTTTGGCCATTCGATATTCCTCTGTTGAGACTTCTCTGTTTAGCTCTATACCCCATTT